ATCCACAGTTTTGTATCACGTGGGGTCACACCAAAATTTCACGTGTCCTGGATGTGCAAGGGACCATAAATTCCTGAGCTGTAAAGGCTGGAAAATGAAGGTTTGCAAACCCTTCTGGATGTTTTTGGCACTAGTTTGCTGCTAACACGCCAAAGGACTGGACCTGCCACATGCCAAAATCCTGGCAAAACAGGAGAACTCAAAATAAAGCCCAAGCAATCGCACACATCAGGCACCTGGGGGGTCTCTGCGGGGCTAAAGCTCGAGCCTTGGTGCGTTGCCAAAATCCCCACAGCAAAAAAAAAGCTGCAGAGGATTATCCAGAGGGAAAAAAAGAAACACAAAGAAAAAAAAAAATATCCAAAACAACTCAACAAAAAAAAACCCTCCCAACCCAACCAAAAAAATCCACTCTAAAAACCCGAGTGCACCTCAGGCCTAATCTCCAGAAGGTGCCTGTGACTGTTTCCCATGGCACCCTGCACGAGGAAGACACAGCAAAAGGGATTCTTTTTCTTTTTTTTTTCCCAAATAGTAGAGGATCAGGGAATAAACATGAAGTTTTTAGGTGGCAGGCAGCTGGGGTGCTGCTCCCCAGGGCCACAGGCACCTCCTCGGGGGTACCTGAGCCACCACCACTGCAGGGGTTGTCACTCGTTTTCTGCTTAATGGGGGGGGGGGGGGGGGAAAGAAGGGTCCTAATTACCAACCAAAAGAGTTCCTTATCATCCTGGCATTCCAGGTTCCTTCCTTGGCCCCTTCCATCCCTCTGACTCTCTTGCACCACTCCTGGGTCTTAGGCCGCTCACCCCTAGGCAGTAATTAAAAGGTCTAATTAAAAAACGGGGGATATTTGCCCGGGACACACAGTCCCCTCACCTGGGGAGAGTTCCCAGCGGGTTCCCAGAGGTTTCCCCAGGTGACATTTTTGTGGAGGCTCCATTCCCAGCCTCTGAGTGCTCTCACTGCAGGGATGCCCATCACGTCTCAGAGCACAAAGCTCGGCTGACGTGCCTTGGACGGACCTTAAATAGCCCAGCACAGGCTCTGGCCAGCACTGCCCACCCCTGGCTCCACCAGATGGGTCAAGATCAAATCCCACTGGCATTTAAAAGCCTTCCAGACCCACATCCCCATCCCAAACCATCGGCGACAAAGAGGTTCTGTCATCATCCCACTGCAGCTACGATGAGCCTGTGGTGAAGGTAATGTCCCTTTTCTTGCCAGCAGGGTTTATTTTTATTTAGGGCTGGTTTTTCCCAGCATTAAGAATTTCTTTCTCTTCCTTTTTTTTTAATTCTCTTGCTCATATAACTCAAGTGGCTGAACAGATTTTCCTCAAAAGCTGCAAAACAACCAGGGTCTAGTGGAAACAAATATGGTTATGGAGAGTTAGCTCAGAATGGAGCCTGGGAAATTAAAAAAAATTATGGTAAACTGGGGGTTTAGGAGGCTGTTTGTGGTAAGACACACTTAGAGTGAAGCTGGTGGAAGTGCTCAGAGATGGTGGGGGAGTGATGTCTCTGCTCCCAGTGACATCCCAAGAGGGGATGTGGGGGCTGATGTGGCACGCTGGGTGTGGGGACCGTGACCCTCCTCCCCAGCTCTGCCCCACAGGGAGCCAGGGCTGTGCCAGGGTGGGCAGCCTCTGGCTGGACGTACCAAACCTGGTGGTGACAAAGTTATCACCTCGTGGTAATTAACCTGTGCAGCTCAGAGACTCACCTGGTCTCGTTAATTAATTAATTAATCCATGTAAACCCCCGTCCAAAAGGCTGTTGCAGTGGTGGCAACTTCAGGCACTGAAATATTTTGTATTTTGGGCTGCAAAATACGGCAAGGTGGGATTCCCATCCAGCGATGTCCACACCTTGGGCACAGATCCCTTCCCTGCAGAGTCTCTTCATCTCTAGTAGGATGGAAATGGGATGGTCCCATCCCTTCTGCTCTTTGGAAAGCCTTGGGAGCTCCTCAGGGCACCCAAGTCAAGCCCCAGCTGCTCTTCTCCATCTTGGAATGGGAGATGCTTCTTCAGGCTCGAGTTTGGGATTAGGACACCTCCGTTGGACACTCTCTTGTGCTCCAACCTGGATGTTTCAACACCTCGTGGCTTTTCTTGGAGGGAAAAAAACAAAAAAACCAAAAGCAAGAAAAGGCAGATGATGATCCCACCAAGTCACATGGCCTGCAGGGATGGAGACATCCAGAGAACCTCTGGACACCAGCAGACCCACCCAGGTCACAGGTTTTGACAGCAGCAGTTATTTAACAGTGGTTTCCAGCACCTCTTGACTCCCAAAGGGCAACTGCTGATGGCTGGCAGCTTCTGTTTGGAAGAGAGGGAACCACTGTGGGAATATCTCCACTGCAAAATTGCTGTGTCCCTGAAGGCTCTCTCTGTGTATAAACCTGGCAGCCCAATCTTGGGTGAGGGCACTGGAGCATTTTATCATCACTGAGCACCATGAGGCAGGGCCCAGATGGCTCTTTGGGATCCAGAGGACACCTGACAAAGCCAGTGGCACTTTGTCCCTGGTGGTTCAGGTGGCTGGAAGCAGCCAGAGCAGAGGTGGGGGATGTCTCTGTGCCCTTGCAGGTGCCCCTATGAGCTCAGCCCTGCAGATGACAGCGTTTGGGCTCACTCTCCTCTCCACACTCTTCCTGCTCCTGGCCACGTGCACCGACTGCTGGATGGTCAATGCTGACGACAGCTTGGAGGTGAGCAGAGAAACCACCTGACAGGTGAGCAGAGCAGCCACCACCCTCAAGGTGAGCAGCTGGGAGCTCTCCATGAGGTTGCACCAGGTCCCCACAGGCTTGGGAAGGGAACATGGTGGGACAAACCCACCACTTTCTGCTTGAGATGAAGGGTTAGAGGATTAGAGAGATGCTGGA